TTTGCATACATGCGAATATATCCATTCTTAGAAAATATTTCTGGGTTCTCTTCAAGTATTTTTCTAAATGGACCACGGATACGAGAGCACCACATTTCTGGTGTTTCATTATCATGTTTATGTTGTAAAAGGTGTATTGCTTTTATTATCTTGTTATATCTATCATCCCGATCGGGCGAACAAAGCTTATAGTAGGCATTACTATCTAAATCCATCTTTATAAATGTTTAAGCGATAAAATAACGATTTACAGTTTTTAGTGATATATCAATTTGAATTTTAGCGATTTATAGTATACTGTATCAAGTATATTATAATAAAATATCGAATTCATTTTTATTTGAAACCAACAAAGACGCTGTGCATACATTATAAGTATATTCACATGCATGAATCTAAATTTTTAAAAAATTCGTATCATGAAAATATGTGGCGCAGTGTTTATTTTTTCGTTAGCGACAATCAAAAAATTAATTACCCACACCCATACATATGTATGGACGAAACTTTGTGTATGCTGAGTACAGATACAAAAACTTCAGACTAAGGTTGTCCAACTATAAATCAGATTTTATATGGAACATCATTCTATTTTTCTGGTGCACTCCACACTACTCGCATACAGCATACATGTAAAATTGTATCGAACTGTGCAATAAGATTCAAGATCCCAAAAAATCATTCAAGGTTAGGAAAAAATATATTATACACCCTTTGGTTCGAAGATATATGGTAAGATAAAAAAAAGTACATTGATCTAGTTCTCACTATTTATTCTTTTTGATTTATTTTATTAATAATATGTATTTTAGGATTGTTATTCAGCACTAAGATTGATATCTCCTCCTTCAGATTTATATAACATGTCTAGAAAGTAGTAATAATATTATGTATATTTATAATCTTTATATGTTGCTATATTTTAAGAAGATTATGGAAAAAACATGTAATGCGCATACATAAAACAATTATTCTTGTGAACACAGAGCTTTGATTTCACTGGATATAGTTTCTTTTGGCGTGAAATATGTTTTCTTAATATAGTTAGTCTTGTGATGTTTAGGTTTTTTTGTGATTTTTGCTCCTGAATGAAGTATTTTCGTAATGTTGCTATTATTATCATCACAGGACAAATATTTGGCTTTATTAATTGCATTTTCCTATTATCAAATAAGTTTTTATAAGCATTTAATATCGCTGAAAGTACAGAAACACTTAAAGATTAGTTTTCTTACCTTAAAAAGGTATAAAACTTCGAGTGAATTTCTTAACGCTTTAATGTCGCTTAGCTGTGCAGGGAATCTATACGTTGGACCATCCAAACCAAAATACAACCCATCATCAAGTAAGTCAATTCCGAAGAGCTGTCCTTCTAAACCTAACACAATAATAAATAATATAAATTACTACAATATCTTTTGTTTTAAATGTTATCTAGAATGTTGTCTGCCTTACCGGCTGATTGTAGTCCATAAAAAGTGGAATCTTCGATAGCCTCCTCAGAAAGGTTATGCAAAAGATAAGTATCCAAAATGCACTTATTAGTTCTCAGGCACTTACTGCGATCTTTGATTATTTTTACTGGTGTTGCTTTACGTGCAAATTCTGAATGTGATAACTCTATATCGTTTTTGGAAGTCAGTACCCTCAAATCTATCTTTCGATTTAAAGTTGATTTAGAAACCGTCTCGCCCCTACAAATATACAAAATAAATTAGACACAATCATAAAATAATATTTACGATATAGTTTCGGGCGAAACTATTTTTCAAAATCCCATGTTTCGCCCAATACTTGGCGAAACTTTCCGAAACTTCCGAAGCCCTACTTTAAAAATGGATTTGCAGATCATTTAGGCGAAACTAGTTTCGCCCGAAACACTAATTTACGAGACGCTTACCATTTAAAGATAGACTAAATCATTGTCATTTGAAAAAATTATTTCCAATATGGGACCCGAAACCTTCATGATATATTCGATTTCTGTCAAATTCTTTTTTCCTCCTTCCTTATCAATAAAAGAATGAGGATTTTCCAACAGCATATCGATTCTGGTTATGGTTAAATGTTTTGAGATTAATTGTAAGAAGCGAAAAATTTATATAAAACAAGCGATAACATACAGATGATAATATATTTTTAAAACTTGTCGACGTTTATCATCAATGGGTCTTTCTTTTAGTTTATCCAGTAGGTAGGTACGAGCTTCCCAATAATTGTAAGAGATACAAAACTAAACATTTAAGAGTATATAGTTTAGTGTCACAGGTACAGTGCGCAACAAAAATAAACATGCCTTTTACAAACTTTTTCTATCTTAGTGATATCGGATAAAATGTCATCTTCGAATTTTTTTACTTCAAAATTTATATTCTCCAAAACTTTCATTTTCAAGCCTTCCCAGTGTTCCCCAAACCAAACGTACATTCCTTTATGAAATTCCGATGACAGATCAATTATAGACGAAAGACCAAGTCTTTACATATGTATATAAGTGGTTAAAATATAAATATTAAAGATAATCTTAACAATTATGATTATACCTTATGATGCTCAGAGTCTTTCCATCTATTTTTATCTTTCCATCCGATTTCTTTGATTGATTTACGTTTTCGATCTCTTGACGTGTCATTTTCAGTAAAATATCCCTGACTTTTTCGCCGTTGCATAAAGTCCATCTTTTATCGTCACATGTGTCAACCCACCCATCAAATGTAACGTTATTAAAATCAAGAATCTCCTCATTCTCTGAATCCTCTGAATCTTCGGCTTCGTCAGCTTTGTCCTTTTTTTCCTCAATAGAGCTGTCAGAACTGTAATCGAAATCCAATATACGTTTCTTGAAGTTCTGTATAAAAAAATATATTAATCACAATGATAAAGTTAATGATAAAGTGCAAGATATCGGACCTCAGCTGGTGTATCTGGTGGACTTATTTTCCTCTTACGATCAATAGTGATGAGATCATCGGCTATGTCCTTATGGAATTCAACTACCGTTGTGGTATGAGCTTGCAAATTTTTCGACTGCATCAGGAAATAAGGGTTAATAAATTTCAAAGCATAAATCATTAGTAAAAAAACGGTACTTTGATCTCAGCCAGTCGTATAGTTTCCTCGCTTTTGATTTGTGTCAGTTGAAGGGTTTCATCACTTTTTATTTTCGTCAGATTCTCTAAATGCTTGAAATAATCGCTCTTGTTTTTATTTAATTTCCAAGACTACAAAATTTCACAAGTAAATAAAACTTTAAAATTATCCTTTACACGTGAGAGGTTATTGTTTTGCACATGAAACCCTGTAGCGAACTAACAGTTCAACACCCAGACGACTAACAGTCCCGAAATGTGCTACAGAAAAAAAAGAAAGACATTCCTGAACTATAGCGAACTAACAGTTCAACATCCAGACGACTAACAGTCCCGAAATGTGCCACAGTTCAGCACAAACGAAAAATAATACTTGCCTCTAGTTTCGCGTACATTTGATCGGCCTTTGATTTGGCATCTGAACTAGAATTATTGCTTACATCCTGAATAGCTTTTTTCATACAATCCAAGATTCTTTTTTTATCGCATGAAATGTTAAGAGCGCACCACTCGGCCAGACCATCGAGAGACCATAACTCAGATTCAATTTCATCAAAATATGGGGGCTAAGCTATTAAAATCACCTTACGGGATAAGAAATTGATTTTGAGTAAATAATGATTAAAAAAAATGC